CCAATGGCAGATACTTCCTCCGTCCTAAATATTTGTCTTTGTAAAGATTTTAAATGGACTACGAAACTTTTTTGGATGAAGATGTGATGGTTCTGATGAAAAGTGACCGCTACAAAACTTTTTTTCGGGAGCCTGACTAGTATATTCTCCTATTTTTCAAACGCTTGACAAAACAAACAAATGAAACAAAACGCTTGACAAAACAAACAAACGAAACAAAATATATCGGCTATTTAATATGCTAAATCTACTGTTGTGCAAACGTTTGCTTAACACGGTTGTAGAAAATGTGCAATCTGGGAAAGCTGCGAATTTTTGTGCCTAAAGTTGTATGTAACCTGGTAGTGGTAGTGCCTAAACCACGCCAGTGATGGGTTGTAAACGGCCGCCCATCAGGCCGTCACTGGTTCCTTTGTTCAGGCCTTCCGTCCGTCCGAAAGGGTTGTTCCATGGATGACTGGTAGCTGCCTATTAGTGGTAGATAGATGTCAGTGGTGTTTCAGGCTACCAAACATTTGAGCAAATCTAGTGTTTTGGCAGCAATTCATATCGAGGATTTCAAATTTGGAAAACATTCAGCATTCATATATTTGGAGCATCACATCTGGAATATGAAATGCACAAAGGATGTACTCCCTTCGTTTCAAAATAGATGACTCAACTTTGTATTAATTATTAGTACAAAGTTGAGTCGTCTATTTTGGAATGGATGGAGTATATATGTATTCCGTATTCCAGTAAAAGATAACAAGTCGCGAGACTATAGCACAAAGCTTAAAAAACACCGGTGCATACGCTGAACGCCTCGATGCCTTGATCGGCCATGGTGAGGTTCAGAGTTCCTCTGAACTAGTACGAACTACTCTGCAAAAGCGTCTTATATTACGAGACAGAGGTAGTAATTTGAAAAAGGGTACAAACTGAAAATGGTGTTTTCAACTAGAAAGTACAGCTTCTTTAACACATAATTTCTAGGGTCCTAAGCCACTTACAGGAGCACATAAGGAAGAGATGGAGCTACCTGCAGTCCGGTGGTGGCGGCCCCCCTTCTTCCCCCGTCGCTGGACCCCGGCTTGGGCGAGCGGTCCTGGTGGCGGAGCCCCTCGGCCGGCGTCGTTCCGGTGCGGATCTGGACGGCGGCGGTGACGGCCCATGGCTGGCGGCGGCCGGCTGGCCCAGATCTAGGCCCTACGGGCCCGATCTAGGTCGGGGCGGGCCTACCGGGGGGCCGCGGTGGTTTGTTCTCCAGTGGTTCTGGCGAGCTCCTCGCAACAGGGACGGCGGCTGCTGTGCCGCGACTGCTGCAGCATGGCGGCGGAGCTTCACGGGCCCGGTCTGGGCCCGGCTGGACATTTGGTCTGGTGTGCCTCTGCTGCTATGCCTGGTCTGTTACCGCCTAAGCCGGTGGAGGTTGTTCCCTCCCTCGCAGCTGCGGTGCTGCCAGTCCTTGTCTACGGGTGTCTCGTTTGGATCTGGTCGGCCTCGCTTCGTTGGCCCTGGTGAGACGACGGCGGTGTCCTCGTGACTGTGTTGGCGCATGTTGGTGGGCGGCGGATATGGTGGAGCCGAAGGTTGGTCCTGGGTGGCGGGCGCGAGGGGTCGGGAGAAATCCATGTCGGGTCTTGCCGGCACCAACGCGGTGACGCCTGCGGGCGCCGCCATCCTTCTTGAAGGGCGTCGGGTGACCCTCTCCCCCGTCTACCCTTTGTGTACCGAGAGAAATCCTAGGACTCGTCCGGGCAGCAGCATCGTCATCGTCGCATTCCTTCTTGAAGGTGGTGCTTGATACACGGCAACTCGGTGGCTTTGGAGCGTGGTGGTTATCTTCGGTGGTCGCAGCGGTCGCGGGGTGCCGTAGCTTTCGTTGATCTGGCGTTGTCGACATTTTTTCTCTTGTATTTTTTAGGCGTGCTTGTGCTGTTAGCCCCAGCGTCGATCGAAATGTTGTATCAGGTGGTTGCTATATCAATATAGCGGGGCGAAAGCCTATTTTGAATAAAAAAAACTACCTGCCCCGGATCCATGGCCTTACATCCATTACAGATTAAAAAAAGAGAGCGAAAAAAGGCATAAATTAAGAAGTGCACTTTGTCGGGATTCAAACAGTGACCCATGAGCTAGCGAGGAGCGCTCGATCTGAAATCGACGTCGAATACGTCAACTGTACCAAGCAGCGCTGACGGTTGGATGCAAGATCGACGGCTGAGCTTGATTATGACAAGGCGAAACGATATCCCATTGACTGAAGAAATCGACACTTGCAGGAACTGAAGTTCAGAGATCCTGACAGGCAGCAACACAATTGGGAACTGATTCTGATCTGTAACGGGCCCCTAATTCTGCTCAGGTGGTACACTGCGTCTGCATGCGGATGTGTTGATTGGTGCTAGCGGCGGTGCCTTGTGTCCCATGTGGGCCGGTCCGTCTCCCGTCTTCTACTCTTCATCGCCGGGGACTGCACTTTCACTTCATCGGTCCTATCGCCGGTGCTCATGGAGACAACGGATGAAGGATGGCATGGGCTTGGACGCTGGGCGCCGCCGCCGTAGGATAGGTTTATGGGCTGTTTTTTGTTGTTGTTCTAGATGTTAGAAATGCAATGAAAATTTATGAAACCTGTCATGTTTGTATAAAGGACGTATTTCGTCATGTTGGTTCAAGTTGTACTCAAAATATATACAGCTAGCTAACGTTGGATGTCGTTCTTCTGCATTCGTGTCCGTGGACTGATCCCGCTATCCATGGACGGATATGAAGGAAATTTACGGATTACCGTGTTGGAGATGCCTAAGGAATCTTACACAACTCAATAGCAAAATCAGTAGATCAATAGCAAAACTAGTATTCTACTCCTTTTGACAAGGCTTACGAGGGCTACAAAACTCTATATTAATCAAGAAGAACGCTCACCGATGCACGGTTATCAGTGTGCATTGCCTTTCAGGCAACGGCTGGCATGTCCTTGAGCCACTGATCAAGCGGCTTGCCAATGGCGTAGACGTTGAAACCGATGTCCCGGAGCTTCGCCGGGTTGACGATGTTGCGGCCGTCGAAGACGAAAGCCGGCTGATTAGGACTTATTAGACTTGCTCTAAGGGAGAGGTTTTTCTTAAGCACTGATACATGGATGATGGCGTACGACACCGCTTCCGCGGCTTGCCGCGCCCTCGCCCTCGCATGGTGGGCACCGCCGGCGTTTAATTACCTCGGACTTTGAGACCGATGCCGCACACGCAGAGCCGATGGTCGTTGTATCCGGCTTTGCCTCGAGCCGCCAGATCCAAGCTTCCTTTGCGCGGAGCGACTCCAATGGCGGAGTTGGGATTGCCCCCCGGGCCCGGCGGAGAGCTAGTTGGACGATCAACACCTCCTCGTCCCCGTGTGGGACATGGATGAGCTCCGCCGGCAGTACCCGGAGCTAGTGGAGGTGGAGCGGGCGATCTTTGCCATTAATGACAGTGAAGTTATCGTCATCTCCGACAACGAGGGCGGCAACGCGGGCGGCAAGGTGGGCAGCGACGACGAGATCGACGCCGAGGAGTGGCGGAGCGTCTTCCTCGATGACCACGACGACAACACTGGCCCGAACCCAGCTTCACCCGGAAGGATTGGCTCGACCTCCCCTTCGTCTGAAGCTAGTTTTAGTTTGAATTTATGTTTAATGTTCAACTGCGAGAACTTTATGTTTAAGTGCATCATATTTCGATTCAAATTTGATTGAATTTGTGCAAATTTAATTTTACTATGCTAACTTTAGGGGATCGGCTACATGCGGTAAAATTTTAGTGGAATATGTATACTCCACTAAGGTATATACTCCACTAACTTTTAAGAGATCGGTTAGAAATGCTCCCCGTACGGATCTAACTCTCTAAGGTCAGCTACAACAAACCTGGCATAACTTCTGTCCCATAATAGCTTGTACCCGGGCTTGTAGCATTACTTGGCCGCATCTATAAAGGCGACGATGCGCCCTATATAAGGGTACCCTCTCTCTACGAAGAGGAGATATCGATACATTCACACACACACACACAAAAACACACACCACACACCTTCTCCACCGGAGAATCCACCATATACCCAGCCGGCTAAACCGCCAGCCCGCATCATCTCGTACCTTGAGCGCCTCACACGCCGGAATACAATTGGCACCAACAAGAGTAGAGAGTAGGGTCTTTAGCGGAGACGATCCCGGGCACGAACATGTATACATTCTTGTGTGCTTGAGGCTGTTAACCCATCCGATCGTGGTTACAAGCTCTACCTACATAGTACTAGAATTTAGCCGGTAACGAAACACCGACAGTACCGTTGCCAACTCCGACTTGTCTTCCGACTCGCACCCGTTCAGCATATAATAGAAAAAGGAAAGAGGTCCTTTTCAAGTCCCGCACCCGAGCAAGCTTTCTAGGGTTTCTTCGCCCTATCCAGGTCCAGGCACGCCGCCACTCGCTCCGCTCCGACCAGCCCCGCCGCGCCTCGACCTGTTCCCAGAAAGCTTGCCTGTTCCCTCTATCTCTGAATCGACCGATCGATCCAAGACCCTCGGTTCGTAACCGCCACGGCCCACGGACATTGGCTCCGGATTCCAAGTGCTCTAGACCACAGATCGATCAGTAACAGGTCTGGATTTTTACTAAGCTACTGCAGCTTCAGTTAACACACTCGACAAACCTATGGTGCTACGTAGTACAGTACGTCTACATGTCAAATTGCAACGTCGTCTTATTGCTGATAACTAGTGTCAACACGCTGTTTTTTCCGTGCTTACTATGTATTAATAATTTGGACGCAGTTTGTTACTGATCTTAGTCTCTCAACTCAAATACTCCTTCCGTCTAAATACATCTATATTTAGACAAATGGAAGTCAAGTATTTTATTTTAGGACGGAGGGAGTACCAGCATGTCTCGTTATACTTGTGAGTTATGAGTGCAATTCCTGTATCTGTAGCTCCAAGAACAGGCGTCGTCTTGTGGTGCTTGTGGTGTCTGCGGATGGCCAATAGCAAGTATGAGTATGTGAAGAGGGAGTTCGAGTTCAATCGCCAGCTCCCGGCCTCCAACTGGATCGTCCTCCGCATCGATGGTTGCCACTTCCACCGGTATATTTCATCTATTTCTCTTAAACGGATAATAATACATAGATAATGTATATCCGTGTTTTTTCGGTTTTCCACACGCATATTGAGTGATTGATTGTTGCTTTCTCTAATATGGGACGTTAACTGATTGATCTAGTTTTATTCTGCTCACTTCCTATCTATACACTGACATGGTTACTAGTGGTTAAGCAATTGCATCAACCATCTGGCCATCTCAGCTCGTCTGTACCATTGTCTTTTTGTAAGGATTAACATGTCGAAACACATGGAAAGAAAATTTTATTATTCAAATATGGGGATAACTGTTGCTTCAAATATGGGAAACATGCAAACATGGCCTCTCGCATCGTGGAGGAGCACTCTACCGCTCTACATCCTCCATATTTTTCGTTGGTTAGTGCCTCACCACAGGGGCACATGAGCTTCCTAGCCGGCATCGACCAATAGTTACTCCTTGTAGGGAACGGCAGTGGAGACGGACATTGAAAATCCTTATTCTTTTGTGGTTATGTGATTTAGCCCATATCTACAAAGTTACATGTGTTGTCCCGTGTATTTAGCTATAGTTTATATTTGTTGTTCTTTTCGGTATCCACTAATTTCAGTTTTATTTTTGTAGATTCTCGGAGTTGCATGCCTTTGAGAAACCAAATGACGAGAGCGCTTTACGATTGATGAACGCCTGTGCCACTTCTATGCTCAAGAAATACAATGACATAGTGTTTGCTTACGGTGCTAGCGATGAGTACAGGTATAATATCTTCTTATCAAAGTTAAATTATAAAATTGTTTGTAGATTTGTCATAAAAAGGTATATGCAAATGCTGTTGTGGAGACTCAGTTTTGAATTGCACGAGCTCCAGTTTTTCCTTTTTTTTTGAACATTTTGTTCATTATTTCCATAATAATCTCCGCTTCTTGTATTTTTGTTTGTTTTGCAGTTTTGTCTTTAGAGAAGAAACAGAATTATATAATAGGCGAGAAAGGCACGTCATTTGATTTGTTCACTTATTCACTTGGTATTCTAAAATACTGCCATACCTAAATATATTTTAACAATTCAGTTATAAGATCTCATCATGTTATTGACTTCTCTACCAATATATGCAGCAAAATTCTCTCTAAATGTGTTTCTTACTTCACATCTGTATACATGAGGAAGTGGAAAGATTTCTTTCCTAATAATGATTTGAAGGAACTTCCATACTTTGATGCGCGAGTTGTATGCTATCCAAATATGAAGACTGTTCGTGATTATTTGGCATGGAGACAAGTGGATTGTAAGCTTCTTGAACTAAAATCGATTTTTTTGTTGTATAAATAATAAGATAATTATATTGTGCACTTATGTGTGTTGGTGTTCTTGACAGTAGAATTGTGTTGTGTATGTTATTACCCTTTATTTAAAATATACAGCTTCAACAACATTAACTAAATATAATAAATATAGTGTATCTATGTGTTGCTTCAATGAGATACTTAGTTTTCTATTTGATTTAATGGTTGAAGATTAACATATTTTATTTTATTTGTATATTTTTCAGGTCATATAAATAATCAGTACAATACATGCTTCTGGATGTTGATACAGTCCGGAAAAACCAAAAATGAGGCATATCAAGCATTGAAGGTCATCTTAATTATCTAGGGCTATACATGTCATTTGTAGCATTTTTATGAATCATTTTTCCTTTTTTTTTGTGAACCGTCTATTTTTCTTTTAGGGAACATCTTCTAAGGATAAGAACAAGTTGCTTTTGCAACAGTTCCAAATCAACTATAATGATGAATCGGCTATGTTTCGGAAAGGATCCACTGTTTATCGAGATAAGGTAATGCTATCAAGCATTCATATGTTCATCATTATTAATGTTCTTGCTTACTCTCAGTGAGGTATTTTTAATTGTTTTTCTTGCAAAATTATTGTTTGCATGATGTATACCAGTGACCATGTTTATTTTTAATCATATTTTGTGTTTAGAGATATTTGTATCATTTCTGACTTATTTTCTTGATACCAGATGGTATATGTAAAAGTTCTTGCTATACTTTATATGTATATTTGAAACTTCTTAGCTGCCATTTTCTTAGGTTATATTGATCAAAGGTTATGTGGGCCTGATTGTTGACTAATGTTATTTTTTGGACATATTCTTTTCAACATTTAGTTTCAATTCTACTAACCCAGTTAGGTGCACTTTGAATACTAAAAAAGTTATACATATTACAGGTCACGAAGGTGAAAACAGACGACTATGGGAATCCCATAAAAAGAACCCGTCAGGCAATTATAGTGTCAAATTTTGATATCATAGGTCCCGAGTTTTGGGAAAAACATCAATACATTCTTGGAAAAGGTCAGTTGAATCATTCTAGTTTTAGGTATGCTTTCGGTCCAACTCTTATCAACTTTGTATATATACAGCATCAGACTGCCAGTATCTTTGGGGGAAAGAAAAATATGGATACGAGTATGTGAAGAAGTTTGTTAACATCCCTAGGTCTCCATGTTCCAATTGGACCATTGTTCGTATTAGCGCCTGCCAATTTGATCAGTGAGGACTCCTAATTTCCTATTTATTTAAACACATGCGGGAATACCATTTAGATAATTATATCGTCTTATCAACATGGAGATTTTTTTCCCCCCAGATTCTCACTGATCCATTCATTTGACAAGCCAAATGATGAGACCGCTTTAAGATTGATGAACGCTTCTGCTTCACTGATGATGGAGCAATTTCCTGATATTATCTTTGGCTATGGTTTTAACAACGAGTACAGGTATGATATACCCTTTCCGAATAGCTGTGTTTGCATGGAGAAGACTGCAAAAAAGACAGATAAAGCAAAAATATGTGTTTCCGCATAGCACAATTTTGCCTCTTCTCATCAATAATAGTAATTTAAATTGAATATATTGGCAATATAAGGGATCATGTTGAAGTTGTAAGTGAACTGGTCAGCGAAGCTTAAATGTGGCACACTTCAGTTTAGACAGGATTTCTTATGTTGTTGGATGGCAAACCTGAACATTTGTTGCAAATGATCATTTTTAATTATTTGTTATTGTTGCAGCTTTGTGTTCCAGGAGAACACTGAATTGTACAATAGAGAGGAGAGGTAGTTACTAGATTTATGAATTCGTATAGTACATGCATTTCATCCGGTCAAGCCTTTGATAAAATATGCAACTTCTTTTGCAGTTGAATCATTTCTTCATGTTCATCATGTTTCACTTCCTTCTACATTATGAAGTGGGAAGAATATTTCCCCAGTATACCCTTAGTGCAGCCACCACACTACAAAGCAGAAGTTCTCTGTTGCCCAAAACCAACAACCGTTTGTGATTATTTGTTCCGGAGGCAATCAGAATGTGAGTAATCCTCCTAAAAGGCCATATCTTTAACTAATCGGAAATATTTATGAATTTGTTGATGGTAGTACAGTATCTTATATCTGAATTCATGTGTTCATCTGCAGCAGTATGAATGCATTAATTTTGGTGTCAATATAACCTATATGCTGTGTTGAATACTTACCATTCAATGTATCTTTATTTTTTTTTGAAGATGTCCTGCTCCAAGGGTTTGTCTCTTCTCATAGTTAGAACAAATCATAAGAAAATGAGCTGACTCGTTGTACATGCTAATTTGCAGGTCACAACAGAAATCAATACAATACATGCTTTTGGATGTTAGTGAAATCTGGAGAAGGTGAAAACAAAGCTAAGGAGATACTGAAGGTCTTCTTTCATCATTTAGGATTTAAAATAATTTTTCATTATTCTTATTAATTCTTTAGTTATGTGCAATCTCTAACTCTTTAGTATTCTCTGAAGGACACATTACCAAAGGACAAGAACGAGTTACTTTTTCAACGATTTCAAATGAACTACAACAATGAACCGGCTATGTTTCGAAAGGGTTCATGTGCTTACCGTCAAAAGGTTTTTTGTCCATCATCCAAGAATTATTTTCAACAATAATGTTGTTTGTGCTGCCATTATCTTAAGAAAGTGACAGTTTAGATACTTAAGAAGAAAGATTTAAAATTCACGAAACGATCAAAGTAACTTTACAGTAACTATAACTGAAAAATATACTCTCGCATTCGCTCATTATCCGTAGTTTGTAACAATTCCATGTCGTCTACAAAGAACTGCATCTGAGAGATGCCTGGATACTGCTGTTGAGCAGAAGTCTTTATTTATTTATTTATTTGTGTTTGCATTTGAGTAGAGGATGATTCTCACGGTATGTCCAGTTTCTCTGTTAACAACTTACAGTGCAAATGGGTGCAGGTGGGAGAATTTGCAGAGGTGGAAGCCAATGGTGATGTTGTTACAAGAGAGCGGTGGGATGTGGCGGTGGCCCACGTAGACATGGGGCCAGACTTTTGGAGAAAGCACCCTTATGTTTTCAACAGGTGATGATTGCTATTTAGTTGCTAGATTTTACTCCCTCCGTCCCGAAATGTAAGACGTATTTTGACACTACAATAGTATCAAAAAACGTCTTACATTTCGGGACGGAGGGAGTAACTAATAACAAGTTGATCTCTTCCCATGAGAAATAGTAGTCAATATAATTATTGCTAGACAAAAAACTTGATGTTTACAATAATTCCATATAGGTAACATGCTGATAAAACTTGTTAACTTGTACTCGTAGATGTCCGAGTGCGTGGGTTAAGTCAAAACTCTCCTTGTTTCTGCCAAACTATCAGCCCATGTCAGCAGCCATTAAATTACTTCTAGTGTGCCACTAGTAGTAATTTGGTTATGTTGCCAGATTCTTAGGTTCAAATTTGGTGGCGTTGCTCAGGGAAGTGAATTTGTTTTTGCATGTATGTTATTGTAGCTGCAGTTGGTGCTGAAAATGGACAGAGTAATGGCATATCACTGCTGAGATACTTTGATTAAATGTGAATTCAAACTATTGAAAACAATTCAAGTGGACCATGCGTTTCTAATTCACCACCACATTGCCCATATAAGTTGCCCATCTCAAGGGGTAAATTTGATTATTTGCCATGAACCGTAGATATGATCAAGCAGTGCTAGTGTGCAACCATCTGTTCATGAGCACTATGATTTAGCTTGGTTTCTTGTTGATTCTTGTATATATACAAAATAGCCAATAATTTTTCATGCACAATAGTTGTGATCAAGTAAGCTTGCCAGTGCTTCTGTTTGAATGTATGGTGCGCAACCATTTGTTCATATGTACTGTGGTTTGGCTGGTTTCTTGTTGATCTCGTGTAGAATCGATTAAGCATGCCAGCATGGAAGGTGTGGAACCATCCATTTACATATTATTTTTCACTGTGGTTTCATGTAGCTTCTCAATATGTAGTATTTGTGCTAAAAACAAGTCTGAATATTTGGTCTGTTGTTTCTCCGAGCAGCTGCCACCACTCAGCTGATTTCAGCCCGCTGATCATTCTAATGATCTTGCTCGGTTCGACTTTTATAGGTCGTGCCACTGATGGTTGAGTTTTTTACGGTTTGGTTTATATTTTCAACTACTTAGGCTTCACATTGCGTGACAGCAATACTCAAACTGACATTAGATTCGTTAGTTGTTGTTTGAAAAAAAGCTGATATGACTCAACACATGCTAATTTCTGCAAGACGTATCCGTAAAATGTACATGCTGGCTTAACATCAGTTCTTGGTCTGGCTTCAACTCCGTGTTAAGATCCATTGATATTTGGAGGTACAGATGACCCTAAAGCCTGGTTAGGCGGAAGAACACATGGAGTTCATACTGGTTTCTTGATGCTAAAGCGTGATTGGTTGAGCAGATCGATTGCCACCCACCATTTTTATTTTGTGTATTTCAGCATTATTGGTTGAGCAGATTGATTGTTAAAGCCTTGGTTATGTTTAATGAGGCATGCATTACATCTGGGATGATTAGATGACCTGAGAGGTGATGTGCCTTTCTTGGTTGCTCTATACTCTGTCTCAGTAGGAAATTGATTCATCTACTAGGTGACTTGTTGGCTTGTTAGGATCTTATCTTTAGTATCGGTTTTACCATGTTTGTTAGATGTTTTTAATGTAAACTCAATTGGTTCAAGAGGATTGCTGGAATGTTGACTGTTCACCACCATTACTTGTTGTTTTCCTCTGCATGCATTGATCAGTGCCCATTTCTTTTCCTTTGTTAATTTATTTTTCCCTTGATAATGAGAAGGCCTAACCATTCAAATTGGCAGCTTGGCAACTATGTAATGTAATAGTTCCTTTCATGTGCAGATGAAAGCAATAGCAGAGGATGAGAAGATCCAAGTTTGTTTATCGTCGAAGAAGTGCTTGTGGAGTTGCGTCCTGGATTTATGGCCTCGTATAATTCTGTACTACTTACTAGACTTATAGCTCGGCCTATCCCGCCTGAACTGTACTTCTAACTTGACAGATGCCTTCAGAATCTGAACTCGTACTGGATAAGTTGTAACAGTGATTAAATTCAGGTTTCTTTTTATCATTGTGCACTTGCGTAGCTGCTTACTCTTATTTCTGCCTCATGGAAGTGTAGTCGCAAAACTACATCGATATTTCACAAAATATGTATTTGTGTCTTGTAGTCTTACAATGAAATTAGTAGATCAGATGGCAAAGCATCAATAAAATAAGATATATTGAGTGATAAAAAGTAAAAGTAGTCGAATGAAACGACTAAACACAAAAACCAAAACCACTACACACAAAATCCTAACTTGTCTAAATAAATATTCCAGGTCTTTTCGGTCGACCTGCTAAATATAGTCCCTGAAGAATTAAAACATGCAGGACGTGTTTGGTTCATGGACTGATAACAGAAATGTAATGAGATTACGGTGGGATCAATGGAGCAACAGACCATTTGCAAAATTAATTTTGGTTCGTGGCAGTAAAGGTATCAGGTTACATAACCGTGTTTGGTTTGACACTGCAGTCTCAAGCCATTTGCATTGGGAAATTCTACATAGGTAAAACCAAAATGATTTTCACATGCTCTTCACAGGCTCAATTCCAAATTCATCAAACTGGCATATAATTTAAAATCATTTTGCATAAATTAACTACAAACACATCTCTTGATCAATGCCGGATAGCTCCCTCATCGCCGGAGATATCGTGACTCGCAGAGGCTCCGCCACACCGACTGCACCTGCGCGCGCCGATGGCGTCCGACAGTGACCGGAAGTGCCGGGAGATGGTCTGCACGGCCAGCGCCGTGTACGGCCTCGCCAAACGATGACACAACCATCTGCATCTCCTGGTGGTAGTGCCAGTACCTACGGTCGACCTGGTCCAGCGTAGCCATTAACGCCGTCACCTTGCTCTGGAGGTTCCGCCTCTCCGTCGGCAGCTCGGCGGCGCCTTCATGCTCCTCGCCGTTGAGACCGTCGACTTTGATGTTGTCGTCCTTCCCGTCCCCCCTTGTTGATAGCGTCGTAAAAGTTGCCCGGCGAGTTCGTGCTCACCGCCATTGCCGACTGGGGTTCGGGCTTATCAATGGGGATGCAGCATCTGCCATGCCGCCTGGACGATCGCACTGGTAGAGCGACACTGACTGCATTGATGACTAGGCTGAGCCACCGAACCGCCGTCGTCTCGTCTCCCATGAGCGGCACCAGACTATCAGTCCCGGTCGATGGTCGATGCGTCTCAGAACCAGAACGGGTTGGTCATGTAGTGGTGGTGGTGGAATGACATGTCGCCACCCTCACCAGGCCAAAACCTTCTCACCTAACGACTAAGTACAACCCAGCTACACGAAAAGCAACAGAAGAAAAACGACCCTGACACCAGAACTTGCGGGCAAGTTGAGAGAAACAACCAAACTTTGAGGCAGAACTTGCAGCATGGACACGCAAGAGAAGAGCAAGACAAAGAAAAGACCAAAAATTGGGGAAAACTTACAGCAAGAACGCTGGGACAAACCTGGAAGGAACAATGGCGGATGCAACACAGCAAACACCCCTCACCCCCAATTTTGCTTTGTCTACGCTTCTCCGGCATTGTTCATAGGGATTGGGACTTCAGGGGCCTTGCCTTTCCCTCTACAAATCCACAAGATTTCGCCAAAAACATCAAAAGGGGCAGCAAAATGAGGTCATATAGGACTTCAGCTAGTACAGATTACAAACAACTATGTATCATAAGTACACTAGAGCTAGCAAGGAATGAGAATTTTTAGAAAACTGTATGTCATGTGGGGCACGTCTTACAGACGTGGGCCGCGCGGCCAGGAGCAGCCGACGGCCGCATCAGGCAAGGCGCAGGCTGGACAGGAGTCCTGATCCGGGCACATTAGTTCCTAGACTAGTTTATTTCGTATAGGTTTCTAGTTTGTTATTAGCCCATGGGGCCTTTATATATTAGATAGTTAGCACCCTTTAGGGATAAGCAATAAAGTTATTTCCTTCTATCTTCCCCTCCCGCATCATAGAGCAGCCAGGCAAAAACCCTAGCGCTCCTATCCACCGCGACTACGAACTACGTAGTCGAGGTCCTGCTGTCTTGGGCACCGAGGCCCTTGACAACTTGGTATCAGGTTCCAGGCGATCCTCCTCCTCGTCCACGCTCCATCCGGCCTCCTCCTCGTCCACGCTCCATCCGCCGGCCGCTTTCCCCCCTGTGTCCGCGCCCAGCTCCCCGACATCGCCACAATCCGCTGCCGCCTCGGTCACTTCCGGCATGGCAGAACCGACCACCGCGGATCTGGCTAAGATGATCGAGGCCTTGACGGCCACGGTGACGTCCCTGCAGTCGTCCGTCACCGCACTCCAGAAGGACAAGTCCTCCTCTTCGTCCAGCGCTGCCGCCGCCCATGATGGGCAGCACCACAATGATCGGCCGCCCAGGTTCCAGAAGATGGACTTCCCCAAGTTCGACGGCAAGTCTGATCCGCTCGCCTTCATCAACAGATGCGAGTCCTTCTTCCATCAACAACGGATCGCCGAGGAGGAGAAGGTGTGGATGGCGTCCTACAATCTCGAGGGTCCTGCCCAACTATGGTATATGCAGGTCCAGCGCGACGAGGGCACACCTCCGTGGCGCCGCTTCTCCGAGCTGCTCAATCTCCGCTTCGGGCCACCGCTGCGCGCTAACCCGCTGGGCGAACTAATGGCGTGCAAACGCACGACGTCCGTCGTCGACTTCCAGGAGCGGTTTGAGGCACTCCTTCCCCGGGCAGGCACCTTATCCGAGACACAGAAAGTGCAGATCTTCACCGCGGGACTCCAGCCACCCCTCAGCCTCGACGTGGAGATCCATAACCCACAGTCCCTCGCCGTCGCCATGAGCCTCGCCCGCAAATTGGAGCTGCGCGACCAGTGCGCGCTTTCCGCCGCGCCACCGGTGCGTTTTCCACAGAAGGGCATCCTGCCGACACCAGGACCACGCCTCGCGCCCCCCGCTCGGCCCCACCAGCCGCACCTCAGCAGGGCCACAATCTGTCGGCCGGACGCCCAATCAAGCGTCTCTCCCAGACAGAGATGGAGGAACGCCGTCGCCTGGGCCTTTGCTTCAACTGTAACGAGAAGTTTGGCAGGGGCCACAACCGCGTGTGCCAGCGCATCTTTCTCCTCGACTTAGCGCCGGACGACGACGACGACGACGCGGCCTCCGCCACTGATGATGCATCGCGGGCTGACCCTCAAATCTCGCTCCACGCGATCGCCGGCGTGCGCACGAGTGAAACCATGCAGATGCAGATTACTCTCGGAGGTGTCTCCCTCCTCGCCCTGATCGATTCAGGCTCCACCCACAACTTCATCGCCGAAGAGGCGGCCGCTCGTGCTACGTTACCGCCCCCCACCACAGAGAAGATGCGCGTCACGGTGGCCAACGGCGAGCGCGTTCCGTGCCAGGGCGCGTACCGCGTCGTGCCCTTCCGCATCGGCCACGAGGAGTTCGCGGAGGATTTCCTCGCCTTGCCGCTCGCGGGCTACGACATCGTCCTGGGCACGCAGTGGTTGGCGTCGCTCGGACCGATCCTGTGGGATTTCCGAGCCCTCTCCATGACATTCTGGAGGCGGGGCCATCGGGTGTGCTGGCACGGCATTGCAGGACCGGACGGGCCAGCCCTAAAATCATGCAGCGGCCGCGACTTCCTGGACGCCATCATCACCGAGTTCGACGGCATCTTCGCCGACCCCTCCGGCGTGCCACCGCCCCGCAGCCGCGATCACGGCATCACCCTGCTACCTGGTTCCGCCCCGGTGGCCGTCCGTCCGTATCGATACCCGGCCGCGCACAAGGACGAGCTGGAGCGTCAGTGCGCCGCCATGCTCGCCCAAGGTATCATCTGTGCGAGTTGTTCCGCATTCTCGTCCCCGGTACTGCTGGTCCGCAAGGCCGACGGGTCCTGGCGCTTCTGCATCGATTATCGCGCCCTGAACGCCATTACTGTCAAGAATGCGTTCCCGATTCCGGTGGTGGACGAACTCCTCGACGAGCTACGGCACGCTCGTTTCTTCACCAAGCTCGATTTACGTTCCGGCTACCACCAGGTGCGGATGCGTGCGGAGGACATCCCGAAGACAGCTTTCCGTACTCATGACGGCCTCTACGAGTTTCTGGTGATGCCGTTCGGACTCTGCAACGCGCCGGCCACGTTCCAGGCCCTCATGAATGATCTGCTGCGGCCATACCTGCGCCGTTTTGTTCTCGTCTTCTTTGACGACATCCTCATTTTCAGCGAGACATGGGCTGACCATCTCCGACATGTGCGCACCGTCTTCACGGTCCTGCACCAGCACCGGCTCTTCGTCAAGCGCTCCAAATGCGTGTTCGCCGTTGAATCAATCGCATACCTGGGTCACACCATCTCCGCTGCAGGCGTGGCCATGGATCCGGAAAAGGTGCAGGCAGTGGCGGACTGGCCGCAACCACGCTCGGCGCGCGCGGTTTGGGGCTTTCTCGGCCTTGCGGTGTACTACCGCAAGTTTGTCAAGGACTTTGGCGTGGTTGCCGCGCCCCTGACGGCCCTCCTTCGCAAGGATGGTTTCTCTTGGTCGCCGGAGGCGGCAGCAGCTTTTAACACCCTCAAGACGGCAATCACCACGGCTCCCGTCCTCGCGTTACCGGATTTTACACGGCCGTTCATCGTCGAGTGTGACGCATCGACGTACGGTTTCGGGGCCGTCCTTCTTCAGGACCACCACCCGGTGGCTTTCTTTAGCCGGCCAGCCGCGCCACGTCACCGTTCCCTGGCAGCGTATGAACGGGAACTCATCGGCCTGGTGCTCGCGATTCGCCATTGGAGGCCGT